AAGAGAAGCAGTTTTGTACCTGCTTCTCCCTGCCTTTTTCGAACTATTTTCTTTTTTTGAAACCTCGCCTTTTTATTCAAGAAACTTAATTTTCATAGCGCTTCATATATATTTCTCTCTTTTCTAATAATAGCCCCGTGAATCAATCGGAATAACTATCGTTCTCCACGTTCTTTTATTTAATAGAATTTTCGTTACGTTCTTTTTTTTTCCTTTCTGTTTTTACTTTTATTCAAAAACTATAGGGAATTTGATTCCAATGAAAATTTTTAATTCGGCAGTTCAGCTTCAAACCGTCCGGAATCGTCGATATCTAGATTTTACTTGTAATATTAAGTCTCTGATGGTTTGTATTCGAGTCGGTTTTCACTCGGTGGGAAGAGTCTCCCTTCTCGGTTAATCTCATTCATCGAGTCGGGATTCACCCGCTGGGTGGCAGGTGTACAGATACGAGCGTGACGACCAGATTGGATTTAGATATCAGAGCCAGAGTTGGCGACGGTGAAACGCGGGTTTGTTAGGTGGACCGCGATCTATCGCTCTCGCGTCGATTCCATAATTCATAAGGGTCGGACTCTTGCCGATCAGCGGCGAGGGTGTTTCTTTTATTCATCTTACGGCTCTATTCTCGCCGATCGGACCTGGCCCCGGTCTGGATAAATCGCGGCGTTTCTCGCGGCCACAGTGCGACAGGAAACTCGCGTTCGCCGCGAGTCAACAAGTGATACCTATCGATCCCACTTGTCAGTCGAGCCTGCGTCTCGTCCCCTAGCTGTTTTTCTTCTGCCCCTCTGACGACGACTCGTGTTTTTTTTTGCCGCCGCCATCGCCTGTCTCCCCCCACCCCCCTACCCCACCTCCCTTTGGACTATTCCGTGCGCGACCGTGCGCGTGATGGATACGATCTCGCGCGCGCGAGTGTCACCAGGAGAAACATCGGCGTGGTTTCGTGCGCTTCCGAAAGTTCCTTCTCCAAAACTTTGCCCCGTCGCTCGTGTCACTCGGTCGAACTGGGACGAACGATATATTTTTACTGCGAATCAATGATCTTTTATTTCGTACCACCCCAACCACATCAACGTCACGAGACGAGACCTCAAACAATGCCCCCAAAGCGTGTCTGCATACAGCGATCTCTCTCATCGTGATCAGAACCATCTTCACTCGGCGGGTAATCGGCCCTCCCTCGATCAGTGCAGACGCACTATCACGATTTTAAGGAGGGATCGGCCGAGCCTCTCTTCAGCCCCGAGCCAAGGGGCTAAGTTGAGCCACGAGAAATATAACGGCGCCCGTCGGGATGAGCGTCGGGATAATAGCGAAGGCTGCTGGCTAACGAGGTTTCTTTATACCGTAAGACGACCTGGTAATCGTCTTACCGTCTTAACAAACTACCAGAAGCGTCCGCGAACGCCTTCGATCGCGCGTTTCGCGATTCCCTTCTGTGAATGATACTTAAGTCGCGATTTTGATCAGGATCCAAATGCTCGCGCAAATGTAATCGCAGCGAAAGAGCGTAGCACCGCGCAGAGCTATGTACGCCGAGGTGTGGCTTCGAGGATCGATACTTGTGTGTGTTAGTCATCTCTCTCTCTCTCTCTCTCTCTCTCTCTTCTCTCTTGTCGGCTACCGCGATCGTTAGCGTTCCTACCATTTCTTTTTGTCGTTATTATTATGCCGTGCACGCGCATGGAATTAACACGTATTTACATGTGACGTATTTGTAATGATATTCCGTTTATTTAACAAGAGTCGATCGATAAGTTGTACTCTTAGCAACTTGCTCGCATTGCGATTGCCGAATTTTTTTTCTGCTACCTCGGATTATAACGTTTCTGTCGAAGCGAACAAACTCCCCTCGTCGACAGAAAAATTCTCGCCAATAATATCTGTCTTGGTAGTATCTACGAGCTCGTTTTTCCGACCACATCTTATTCGGATCGGAGGAGGGTTCAAAGGGCGAGAAGATGGATTCTGGCCTCTTCTCTCCCTCCTCGCTTTTCTCACGAGCTCACGAGATTCATTTGAAAAGGATGTGGACGGTAGAAAGATGCATACGATGAACTTTGGTATTTGGTGGCGCTTCAATCCGGGGTTTACAATCGATGTAGCGCGTCACCGCTACATCGATTTTATCGCTACAACCGATTGTGTGAGGAATGTACGTATTGCATTTCTCAAATCTTTCGCCGCGCAAATGTGTTTACACGTGACGCATTTGCGAAGGATGTTTATTCGCAAGCTACATCTCTAACTCTTAAGCATGAATATTGGGAAAAGAAATTTCGAAATACTTGCGTGATTATTGTAATGAAAGGTACAATATTCGCAAAAGCGGGAGGGACAAAATTGTTCAGTCGGTGATCGAATCAACGCGATAATCATTTTCGACATTTGGCGCACCGTGCTGCTATTAGTTTTTTTTCTTTTTCTTCTTCCTCTCTTTACCTTTTGATCGACAAACGCGACCTTCTTCTCTCATCATCGATATGCATTCTGATAATCCTCATTCTCTTCTCGTCTCGTCTCGTCTCTGCCATCTCGAGTCCCCCCGTTTGGGTCTTATTGGATCGAGCGCGCTATCAAAGGAAGAGGAGGTGGGTTCGATCCTCTGCGGTTCTCTGATCCCGTCGAGGGTGAAAAGTGCGACGAAAGTGTAAAGTCACGCTCGTCTGCTCTCGAGCCGCGCGTGACGACACGGCTTTAAGAATTCAAATTTGCCGAAATTATATTCGTTTGATATTAATCGCGCGCGCGCTTTATCGGATTATCGGCGCTGCCTGCCGCGCACGGAAACCCCATTCCATGTTCTCGCTAACGACGATCATTTGTTCCACCGCAGCTTGCTCGTCTCGTCGAGCATTATATTATAATTGATAGTGACATCGTGTCGCATCAATTATAACGTCTCGTGCCTTTTGCGCGGACGCATCGACATTCGTTTCTCATATATTGCGCGATCGATTCCTTTTAGCGTCCTTTTAAATGTGAAATTGATTTCACCGTTAGCGACTCACCGGATTTCGCCGTAGTTCGAGGAGCGGAAAAACGCGCGTTACCAAGCTATCGTATTCATCTCGATCGGGAGGGGGACGGGGCACGATTTCCTATCGCGGTATCGCGGAGAAGCGTTGCTTCTCATTAAATTTTCTTTGCTCGTCGAGACGCGGAGTGACAGCGCACGTCGGAGAAATACCGGTTTTCGTTCGATTCGTTCGGCGAGATCTCGCCAATCGTCGATGAAACGACGACGCGGAGCGAGTTGTCGCGCCCTGGACTCAAGTGATGTCGTCCATCAGGAGGAAAAGTTCTCCGCTCTCATTATAGCGGTGCGCAGTGGCAACCCACTTGGTTGGTTGATCGATCTCGAAATAGGTACGCATAGAGAACGGCGCATTGCGGCGGAAGCATTGCCGAGTAAACGGGAACGGACGAATGTGGGTGAACCACGCGCAGAAACGCGCAAGACAAAGCTGGAATTTTTCTCAGAGAGGAGAGTCAGTTTGCGCGAACGAACGCGCGCGCGCGCGAGTTAATCCAACGGCTCGCAATTTCCGAAAGAACAACAGCATGCAAATCCCATCGTCGAAGCACGCCGAAAGCAAGGTGCTTCCCTCGGCGGAAGGATACAATTTCAGCGAGAGAGAAAAAAATGTTCGAATCCTCTGCCCTCATCGATCGCGATTACGTTATGTGGGCGAGTACGTCACGGTTGGCGCAAGTCTCGTAATGGGGAAGACTCGCTCGTTCATTGACAAGGGAGAAGATAATCTTGAGTGATTTAAGCGAGAAGCGAATCACCGATCTAAGACTTGAGCGTCGCGCGAAAGGCTTCTCGGCGAATCGTTACGCGTGCCGAGTCGCACCGTTTTTCGCACGAACCGGAGCCGCGTCTCCTTCGCTTGACTCCGATTAAGAAGCTGAACTCTCGGGTCGCGCGAGAAACGCCCCTTCGTTGACCCTCGACTCGATTGTGATCACGCGCGCACACATCGATTGTCTTGCGATTGTATTACATATATAACACGAATCAGTCGAGTCAGGCTCGCTGATCTGAAATTCGCGACGGAACGTCGCGAAGCGAAGTCCTACTACATTCGTCGCGAATTATAGATTGGCTAAAGTAAGCTTCCATTAGTAAGCTGTCACAATGACGAGGATCGACGACGTTGAATCGTATAAGTTGTTAAGAAGCGAATTGCTCTCTTACGTGCTCTGGATTTATATCCCTTAAAATGCGGAATTAAGCGGATCACATGTTATATTTGTTCGGCACGACAAACTTGTGCCGAGTGCGCTCTCTTTCAGCCGCATCAGCTCGGAAATACCTAAATCGATTGTGTGGCTCGATGTGATTACACGGCCATTCGGAGAGAGCTAATTGGCGGCAATCGTCCGCCCGAAAAGGCACAAAAATTCGACGAGACACAACGGCGCGACACGATTGTGTACGATGACATTAAAGACCGCGCTGGATAACAGCGTCACGTCTGCACGTTCGAATACGATACGATACGATCTAGTCGACCCATGATGTTGATGTCGTCGGGTGCTATTCGTGGCTTGCCGATTGCCACGTTCGCGAAACCGTATAACCCGAAATCAGCTTGAGAACCGCGAGTGGGTCGTTCGCCGCGTCGCAAAGCCGCGAAATTCGGATTAGATCCGCAGATTGCAGATTGACTCGTCGAAAAATCTTACCTTGGCGCGAATCCGGCGCGACACCTGTGTGTGATGGAACGTCGCGTCCAAAGAAATTTGATTCCATGGTAAAATTTATATAGCGGACGAGAAAGTGAGAGAGGCAAGCGGAGAACAGAGAAATACCAGCGAAACAACGATGATAACAATGATAACAATAATAACGACGATATCGCGCTTGATTTCGTTTTTGTCTCGTTGTCTTCTTAAAGATACATGCAAGTTTTAAAGATATCGATCGAGAATCGTTCAAAGTACGAGTCAGTAGCTTATACCTCTCGTCGTTCTTTCTGTTACAGTGAGATTGCACGACAGTATACAAGAAGAAAACTTCCATTATCTCGTCTTTGACCTGTAAGTACACCGAATCGCCGTCGTCGTCTCTCTCTCTCTCCACCGTTAGATCTAATTTAATTTCCATACGTGTCCCCACGCTCTCTTCGATCAGAGAGCGAGGCTGTTTGAGGTCGGGCCGACTCGGACCGACGTGTTTCATGAGATTAAAATCTCGGCCGATTGCCGAACGATGACGCACGACTTGCGGACGGAGGCGATTCGTTCCTTTTTAATAGTTGCCCGATACCTTTCCATCTGTACACAACCGTCGACACGATCGGAGAGAGAGAGAGAGAAAGAAAGAGAGAGAGAGAGAGAGAAACGACGCAGTTTGATCTTATATACGACGAAAGAAGGAAATCTCTGCTGTTACGCCTGATAATTACGAATGTTTCCTTTTCTCTTCCTTTTCTTGCGTTTATTACGCCAATTTCATTCGCGAGAAGAATTAGAATTGCACCTGACCTGACCTGAAGTGTTGTGCACCGAACAAAAGTAGTAGTTGCTTCGAATCGTAGAACGTCCCGTTAGGCTGCCGTTAGACTCTGAGGCGAAGGTATAAAAGGCGTGGTTCTTGAACGAAATCAAATAGGTGCGATTGGCACCTATACACCTGTACACCTAGACAATGTTTAACGTTTCAACGACAACGTGTGTTGTTTCCAACGTCAAAAACGTTCCTCGGACCTCGATCTGGACGATCTCTTCTCGTGTTGGGAGCACTCGAGCCGTAATCGAGCCGCCGTAATTCTCTCGATATTCTCTCGAGTCATCGTCGCGACTCCATTAATCGCGGCTCCCAGGGCGAGCAACAACGAGGCAATTTGTGAGCTCTAATTGTATCGGACGAGATACCGATCTCTCTCTCTCTCTCTCTCTCTCTCTCTCTCTCTCTCTCTCTCTCTCTCTCGCGGTCTTTCAATATCGTCGACGGTCGATCTCCCCGACGTGTCGGGCCGAGACGAGAAAGTATATATCGCGTCTAATTTAATTTCGGCGCGCGCACATACCGCGTCACATGGATATTCGTAACGCTGATTTACACCGCGTAGCGGTGTATAAATCTCCTTTCTCTTTCTTGCCACGTGGTCCGACACGACGCGGCACGGCACGGCACGGCACGGCACGGCAACGCGCTTTGCTAATTCGCCAAGCCGCCGCGATTAATCTCCGGGTTACGAGGGGATTTCATTTCGCTCGTTCGTCTTCCGCTTGACTTTTTATTGTCGACGCAGCCCGCTATTTTCGGCTCCGCCCGTCGAATTTCCGCTGCTCCAGCAGTTAATCCCTCTTAATTCCGCTTAACAGCGTTCTTCACCCACGTGTGAGTACGTCCGCATCGCGTCTCACCTCGCCCGTTATTATTCACCCCCGCGCGTCGCTGTACAGCCATCGACTTGGCGGCTCGCTTGATACGATTTCGTTATCGCTCGCGAGTGAAATCTCGGGCAAGTCGTACGCCTTTATGCGCCTTTATGAACCAAGCTGCGGAGTGCGCTCGCTCGTGCGTGTTTACGAAAGCTCACATTACCCCATTATTTATTCCCAGGATTAAATATTACCCGCTCTTTTTTTTTTCCCCATGCGCGATATTCTTCTCCCATGCAAGAACCCCCTTTCAGCCCCTTTCAGTCCTCTCTCCTCGTCCCGTGCGTGCGCGCTCCGCGAAATGGAATTGAACCGTAAAACGCTTACAGAGTCACCGGCGGAGAACTGTTCGAGGACATCGTCGCCCGGGAATTCTACAGCGAGGCCGACGCCTCGCACTGTATTCAACAAATCCTGGAAAGTGTTCATCACTGCCACCATAACGGAGTTGTACACCGGGATCTCAAAGTACGTAGAGGAGGGGGAAAGAGCGAGAGAGAGAGAGAGAGGGAGAGAGAGAGAGAGAGTTTGCCGAGCGGACTGCGCGTTTACGGAGCCGACGTTGAAATAAAGCGACCGAAGCAAACAGGCGCCCGCGCGCGGTCTATTTTTTCACAATGCATTTCCGTTCAATGCGTCGTCTACTTTCCGCGATTTCCGCGAAATGTCCCGGAAAACCTAGACAATAATAGCGAGGCGGTGTTTTCTATCGAGCGTGCTCTCTCTCTCTCTCTCTCTCTCTCTCGCTCTCTCTCTCTCTCTCTTTCTCGTTCACTCACTCTCACTCTCTCACTCTCTCCCTCTATCGAAGCTTAAAACTATCGAAGCCGGAGCACTCCCTTTCAATTTTCAGAGCTAAGCAACTCTCGCCAACTCTGAGCCGCGATTTCAATTCCGTCGTGGGAGAAAAATGTCGGTCCGTCTTAACGTCAACGTTAGGAGATGTCAACGAGACACCGCGGAATGAGATATCGCGCAGAGATACTTGTTCGAAGTGTGGAACTCTTCCAATTTGAGCCGAGATTTCAACCCGCGCGCGCGCGCGCGAGAAAATTGCGCGGCGCAGCAGCAGTCGTTGCGACGTCACTCTGTTTCTTTCTGTTGCAGCCCGAAAATCTGCTCCTCGCGAGCAAAGCGAAAGGGGCGGCTGTGAAACTGGCAGACTTTGGCCTGGCGATCGAGGTGCAGGGAGAAGCGCAGGCATGGTATGGTAAGTTGACCCCAATTTTTCCGCTCAATTAATCCGTCGGAGCACCTCTTTCTCTCTCTCTCTCTCTCTCTCTCTCTCTCTCTTATTCTTTCGCGCGCGCAGCTACGACATATTTGTCGTTGATCCGCAAGCAATCGAACGTCGCCACGATATTTCGTCGCACGACCGCGTGAAGAGAGAGCGTGCGATGCCGACGTTTCGGCCGCGATGATATTTCATCCCTAATCGGTGACACGGCTGCTCGATCGTCTCTTTCGTCGCGAAATTCCGATGGAAACCGGAATTCGGAAGGCTCGCTTATCGCGCCGAATAATCACGCTATTCAATGGCATTCGCTGTGCCGATAGGCCGCGCGCGTACGATTGTCGAGGAGGTTTGTCGAGCGTACGCGTTGACTTCGATTGTTACTATCTCGCGATGGATGTATCGAAATCACCGGATCGTCTCAATTTTGGAATCTAATTCCATTAGCTAGAATACAACTTTGTCGGATAAAAGAGACGAAAAAATAAAAAAGAGAGGAGAGAGAGAGAGAGAGAGAGAGAGAGAGAGAGAGCGAGCAAGGACAGTACCGAGACTTTCGATCGAGCAAATCAAGTATTAATCGATTAATATCGAGAAGAATAACAGGATTTTACAGACTGTCGTGACTCAAATTGCAAACCTGACATCTGACACTGTAATTTTCGAGCGAAACACGCGATACAAGCTACTTTGTTATCTCGCTCTTGTTCGAGAATGTTATACAGCGCTGTCGCGACTGTCCACGCGGTATCCACCGGTTTTCGTATCGTCTAACGTATCATTTTCTTACGGATACGAAACACGCGCGTTAACGTAATATCAGGAGGAAATATCAATGATGTGTCCAACCTATCGCAAACTTATTACTTACTCTCGGAAAAGGCACTGTCGCATGCCTGTGTTTAGACGAAATTACAAAACTTTTTCCTCTCTCTCTCTCTCTCTCTCTCTCTCTCTCTCTCTCTCTCTCTCTTCACGTTCTACGCGCGTCTCGTCCTTCTCGTTGTTTCATATTTCCTTCTCTCTTGCCTTCCTTCATATATTTCGTTACTTTTCGTCGTTTTACAATTTTCTCCCATGCAAAAGAAGGCGAAAGATGGCCGCAAGTAGTGTCTGGCTCTTCAAATCTTATTTCTTTCAAAAATATCATCACTTTTCTCCGTGAAAAGATTGTTTTTTAATTAAATGTTTGCTCTGGTGCATTCGCGAGTTATCTCGTTGTTTCTCATGTAATTTGCAACCCGAACCGTGAACTTTGACCTTTCTACCTATTTTTTGCTGTCTTCTTAAGTGATTTACATGTGTATTAACGCACACATAGACGGCTGCGTGAGACGTGGTGGTATTTGAATATACAGATAAACTCATTGAAACAACAACACTTGTTCTGCTCGGCTGCTCGTTTTGTCTCCCTTTATGTACATAAAAATGCAAAGGGGAAGTTATCCGATAACGCTTTTTTCCGCGCGTCCGTCCAATGTGAGAGCTCTCGCGGATCTTAATTTTAGCGACTTTCAACGACTTCTCGAAAAGTTGGAGGACACACGGTATCTCCTCTCGCTCATCAAAGGAAGCATCAAACGATCGAAATATAATCATTTCTCGTATATTTTTAAACGATCGCTAAGGACTGATCTGAAATGAATCATGAGCAATTTCTTTATTCGATTCTTGTCCTTTCTCATCAAGCGCTCTGAATCTACTTACAACCGACGAAAAGCAGTTCGTCGTTACAATTAAGATCGATCTTCCTGGGACAGCACATATGTCCCGATACACGATATTGCGAGTGTCCCGGCAACGCTTATCCGGCAACGTTCTTCGCCTTTCACGCTTATCTCCGCGATCGATTTTTTCTTCTCTCTCCCTCTCGCCCTTCTTGCCTTCAGTTTTTCCGAGAGCTGCAAAACACGCGTGCTGCCACGCGCGTCGGAAATATGTAAAAAAGAAAAGAAATGGATATTACTCGGCGCGCAAAGTTGCATAACTTTGATGAATGAATTAAAGCGATTAGCAAAAGGATTTAGGGATACATCGGAGGCTTGATGCGAGAATTGAGACGCGTTATCATTCGCAAAATCAACATTTCATTCGTCGCAGCGCTCCGCAGCGATTTTACATCACATTTTACAACTTGCTGCGGCAAGATGAGCCGTTTAATTTACATCTACATAGAGGAACGCGAGATACAGGGATAGTCCACGTAAAAAACATTCATCAATCGCAATGTTGGCCTTTACGGGAGGGGGGGAGGGGGACCTGACAACTTGTCCCGAGTAAATATCCCACCACGCAATACTTCTCCTCGTGTTCGCGATCGCGACTATGTGAAAAAGCTGTGTAACACGGTTCGCGTCTCTCTCTCTCTCTCACTCTCAATGATTTAACGCACTCGCGAAAAGATTGCAACATTGGCCGATCCAACGAAAAGCTCCAATGTCCGCGACGCTCACTGACGGCGGTGGATTTCCGGGGGCAACCGTTAGCAACCGGGTTAATTGCACACAGCACCATATTTTTGCTGCGTCAAAGCGCCTGCGTTCCGATTGCGATTGCCATTACGTAACGGCGGTGCGTGCTTATCGAAAATTAATTACACGCGCGGCAGAGCACGCTAAAATTGCCTAAAATAAATTGCTAAAATAAAAAATCGGGGACAAAAGAAAATGACGAAACTCGCATCTAAATTGTCTGTTACGTTCCTCCCGTTGTCATTAATTCCGAAAAAATTTCACGGCATTTTCTCTCTCTCTCTCTCTCTCTCTCTCTCTCTCTCTCTCTCTCTCTCTCTCTCTCTCTCTCTCTCTCTCTCTCTCTCCCGCCCGCCAACGTAGCCATCGCGGCATTGTTGTATTTTCTCGGATAATCCTTCTGCGAAGAATGAAAACCACGTGTCGCCAATCGCGACGCTAAATACTTGTTGGCTTTTGTAATCGTATGTACCGAATGATCGAATGTAACCGATACGCCAGAGAAATGTATAATTTCGGAATTTTCCGTAAATTGTGCAGCCGCGCGACGATACGCTTTTTCAGATTCCACCGCGTCGCTGCAAACGATTACTGCAAACTGCGCGCGCGTGCATTTTGGCCGTAGGGAAATAAATGAAAAATTCGGTCAATCGCAGAATTGAACTTTTCCAATAACAGATCCGTCATTTATTATCAAGCCCGGACCACGCCAACCACTCGCCTGTTTGACACATGTACGTTCCTGTTTGCATAGTGATGAGATCCGTACAGACATTTGGAAGAAACATGCCAAATATATCTTTCCGATATTTTCTTTCTTGCATGTGGTCAACGAGTATTTCGAACAAACTTTCAGAATCGGTTCGCTCGCGCTGCGCACTGAAATTGCGTGACGAACTTACTCTGTCGATACGTCTTGCTACTCGCTGTACTTTTCCTCTTTAGCGTCAACATTCCACCACTATCGACATTGACGTCGCTCGGAAGTGTTTACGAAGCACAATGAAAAGACACTCGTAGGACAAAGAGTGGGCAAGGTAAAATGTAAACACGGTAAAAGCGTGCGATGCGAGTATATATATTTCTCCCAAAACCAACCTCCTCCTTCCTCGCCTCCGAGCGCCTGCGAGGGAAGGTTAGTTTCGACAACGAACGGGATAACTCCCGGGTGATTTCCCGTGATTTCGCGCACGTAATACCTTGATCCCGTGTAATCATTCGGTAGCCCGCGCGCGAATCGTCGCGTTCTTATCCTTCGAGCGGGAATAAACCTGATTGTGATTGCTCCGAAAGGTTTCGCGGGAACGCCCGGCTACCTCAGCCCGGAAGTGTTGAAGAAAGAGCCGTACGGGAAACCGGTCGACATCTGGGCGTGCGGTGTCATCCTGTACATCCTCCTCGTCGGCTACCCGCCATTCTGGGACGAGGATCAGCATCGACTTTACGCGCAGATCAAGGCCGGATCGTACGACGTATGTATCGTGTCAATATACTTTGATATATCTTCCGGATGGATCTTCCTAGAACGCGTCGTACTTTCAGTACTTTAGTACGCAGACGCGACGGGCTATTCGCGGCGGACCCGCTGCTTCTCTCACACAGTACAATATAGAGAGTAGCTTCTTCTCACTTCGTTCTCGCTCGGTGCATCATCACACGTTATTTGTATGTGCGGAGACAAAAATATATAATTACCGAAAAGAATCCTTTCGGCGCCGTTTCGAACTCTTGTGTCGCCAATGTCATGTTTGCTGTTCCGCAGTATCCGAGTCCAGAATGGGACACCGTCACGCCGGAAGCCAAGAACCTTATCAATCAGATGCTGACGGTGAATCCAGGAAAGAGGATCACTGCCAGCGAGGCACTGAAGCATCCATGGATCTGCGTAAGTACCGTCCACCACTGTGTTATCATCGCAGTGCAGTGAAATTCGTACAACCGTGTAATTCAGAAGTAACATAATCGCACTCGGCCATGCGAGATCAGTCCCCGAATTTAACCGGTATACGCATCCGGTATACGGTGTGTAGAAACTTCACTCAGCAAGTATCGTGTTTCTATATAATATATATTCGTGCAGTGCAACGCGTTGCGTAATATACGACTTATCGCATTTGTAATTTAATACGTTAAAATGCAAAATGGTTATTCGAATCGGATGAAACGGAAATCGAATTACGATAAATGGAATATGAATTGATAAAACAACGCGCGATAGCGTACCGCGATCGCGTATGGGATGACGTCGGGCAAAAGAGCGAGATATTTTTGTATCGCTATATTTCGGTCTAAACACCTGTGACAATGTGCATGCCGGCTTGCAACTAGCGTGTATTGCAAATATCGATTACGTAGTTTCTTCGCGTACTAGTTTGCGATCGTCGCCCGTATCGGGACACTCAGTCATAATCATTGGCCGCTTTCTCTGGCTACGGCCTACGACGATAAAATTTCATTCTCGACGAAGCGCGCGAGGATTAAGATCTAATTCCGGACGACTTGATACAGTCGTTCCAGTCAGGACAGCTCCTGATATCGCTCTTTTTACTTGATGTTTCAGCAACGTGAGCGTGTCGCATCCGTGGTGCACAGACAAGAGACCGTGGACTGCTTGAAGAAATTCAACGCAAGGCGCAAGTTAAAGGTGAGTACGAGCTGGACTTTTTCTCGTGTGTGTGTGTGTGTGTGTGTGTGCGTTTTTTCGCCACGCGCAATTTATCGCGTTATCTCCAATTTCGCCAACTCTCGTCGCGCCGACGATGCGACGTTTTGCGCAATTTCGCGTTATGATTTTGCAGTTTGTCATTTAATTCGGCGCAACGCGTGATTAAAAAGAAAGGGGGAAAAAGGAGAGAGAAAGAACGAAAACTCTATATTGCGCGTATCGCGGGGTCTGACTTGCGACACGTTGCGTAAGAGAAAAAGAATATGACGCACGCATCGTTTTATCTCCGCTCGTGAGTAAATAAAATTTCGTTGCGTATTCGTTTCGGCGTGTTATTCGTTCTGATTGGTCGATGTTTGAAAAGATTGCACAGCGGACGAAGCGTGCCTCGGACGAATAATCGTTTGAGATAAATGGAGATTGAGATTGTCCGCCGAAGGGGGGCGGCTCGTTTTGGGAAACGCACGATCGATGGATGAATGAATGTTTTACGAGAGATTTGGAGAGACTGAGATTTATTTGATTCACGATTGTCAGTCACCGATTTTAGACTGGCCACTGGCGGAAATGTAACGCGCAAAGGTAATCGCGCAAAATCCAACTCTCCAAAGTCCATCCCGCAAAATCTCGCTTACGTGTGTACGTACCCCATTGGACCAACCGGCCACATTTACAGATGCAACTTCTCTCTCCATTATGTCCGCACGTTGCGGTGCCGCGCGGCACGCGTGTTAGTAACATCTCTGTAAAATTAGAACGATGCACGGTGCACGGTCGCCGGCATTAGGCTGGCGAATCCCACTTATCGATTCTCGGGAGGCATCGTCAAACAACGTGAGAGATTGGCCTCGCCAAACACATAATCTTGACTGGTGATCTCGAAAGATCCCTTTAACGTCGTACGTGTTGCATCAAGACGAGAGAAAGGTCGCGATTATTTTACGAAAATCAATTTGACAAATTTACTCGACAAGTTAGCGAGACCCCGGGTTTCGCTAAGATTGTTGATAAACGGTATTTTCAATCGATATCGAGAACATCGTCGTACATTCAACACGTGTTTTCTTCTTGTTCTTTTTCTTTTTTTTTTTTCTTTTTTTCATTTCTTCCAACATTTACAATGCGAGCATTTCTGAAAGACGCGTGAAATTTGTTGACGGGTTTGTCAAAACTTGCGATTTAAAGCCTACATTGTCACGATCCGCTCTCTCTCCCTCCCTCTCTCTCTCCCCCCCCCCTTTCTCTTTCTCTCTAAGCAAACTTGGTCTCGAATCGCCGTCTCGATCGAGAATCGATGACGCCTCCCTGCCTATGAGCGTCGTTTCTACGGCCCTGTCGTTCGACAAGTCACCGTCGATTAAACGATGAAACGCATCGAGCAGTACGACTCCACTTGCCGTTGCAATCACCGCACTCTCGAGCGCTACGAGAGCGGAAAGTGTCGCGTTTTATCGGAGCCACGTGCGTGACGTGCGTTCGCCGTTATCGAAATGCGCTCGTGGCACGTGCGAAGATAACGCCTGTCGCCCTCGCAAACGGGGAAGTCCGATTTAATTGACTGTGAAACTGAGAGAGTGCGAGACTCTCGAAAACATCGACGAGCGTGAACATTTGTTTGTGCAACCCCGATTTCTTTTCGCCAGACTGGACTTTAATTTCGTTGATTTTATCGAGGGAGACGCGTGTAGTCTCGCTCGTTCAGGGCGCGTTTCTGTGTGAAACTTTTTTCGGTACTGCCAGAGTTGCGACACTCGTAACGATCTAACGATCCGGGATGTTTTGCTCTGATAATTCTCCCCGTGTGCAAGCTCCATCCTGTCCTGTTTAGATATTTATTTAAATTGTTATCGTAATCTCTTACGATACGTTGTCCAATTTCTCTTTTTCTTATTTCCTTTCTTTCTCTTTGCGTGAAATTAGACGGGAAGAGAAAATGTACCTGCCTCATCCCACCTATATTTCGAAACTTTTAATTATACGCTCGCAAAAGCTCGATTGATCTCTGATCATTATTTTTATCTATCGTCCATCTTACCACAGAGTTTCGTCCATCGTGAGAGCGCCGGGGTTACGTTTCGAACGTAACGACAAAATTATATCGTGCGGGACCGCGTCCTTGCAAGTGACAAGCCTAATTGAGAACGCGCGACTTTGCCCTACTTCTTGCCTCGTTTCTTACAGCCTCGTTTGAACGACGTAATCGCATCGACACTCGGTGGCAGTTATTCAATAAACAAAGCGCGAGAAACGCGCTTCATTACTCGATACGATTGACGACGCGTGAGCAACTATTAAACACGGCCCCCGCATTCAACCGCATGCGCGAGACTTGTGGTGTCTACGAGACACTTGAATCGTACTCGTGTACGCGATTTTAATGTAAGAGCATTTTATGACACTTAACAAACGGAAGAAAGGAAAACTTTTTTGCGTGGAAAAGATCTTGTCCTGCAAAGCACACTTTGCGCGGACAGTCTACAAGTTGGCGGCGAAAACCGAGATGAAAAGAATTTTGCTTGAGCTGAAGAAATTTGTTTATTTTCACTCGTCCAGCTTTCTCTTTTTTTTTTTTCTTTCTGTCGCGTTTTATAAATAAAAGTAGCCTCGGAAGAGATACAAGGAGATGTACAGGGCTAATATACGGTTCGCGTGTGTATACACTATTCTATGAATTCCCACGACTGACGCAATTTCTAGGATGAACAATTCCAGCGCGAATAGAAAATTATCGCTGTTTATAAGAACGGTAAAGAGAGAGAGAGAGAGAGAGAGAGACTCTTGACGTACTCGCGCCGTGGAGACGCAGCTGTGTACACACTATGTAATTCCTTCAAAGTCACACAAAGCACACACACGTGCGTGTGTGCGTGCACGTACGTTATTTCACGTCGCAAAAGTGGCAACGCCGTTACGTATCTCTCCGACAGACGGACAATTTTCTCACATTAAAATGCACCGCACGTGCATTCCCAAAGTGAGCGCAAATTAGCAACTCGACAGAGAGACACTCGCTCGTTCCCTCGCGAGTCGAGTCGCGTGAGCGTTATCAAACGGTAATCGTGCTCGGCGAAACGATAGCGAAACATTATGCTCGATCAAGCTCGATCACTAGTCGGATCACAAGTTTATATCAGCGCGTCGCGCGAGACGCGCAGCCGTTTATTACGTAGCGGGTTAATTAACGCGTCCATTCAGTCGCCTTGCTCGTCGTACTTTTGCGCGAGAATCAGATATCGAGATTCGCTAATTGTAACACGGTCCGTGTCAATAACGAAACGAACGATCGACCGTTCTCTTACAGAGAGGCGGCGGCGAGCTCCGAAAGCGCCTGACAATCTCGAAAGAGTCGAACGGACGGACGGACGGACGGACGGACGGACGGACGACTCGTGCCTTTCGATTCGATCGAATTCATTCGGAGAAAAATGGCAAATTCAACTAATAACTAATAAAGTATAATTGGACGCGTTCTCCTTTCGCGTTGATCACCACCATCGGCATCGTTCGCACCGGCAAGCGACAAAGTCTGACCTAACGATAATACAACCATGGCAATTTAATCGTGACTGATAACTATTGCAACAATTAGAAATTTCGCGCCGCTATATAGGATAGGACGCGAAGCTTGTACATTATGCATGCGCATTAAAAGTTCATGCATTATTTTGTTACGAAAGCTATCGCAGCTTTCCCACGATAGCTCTTGTAATTCATATTGCAACTCGTGTTTTCCAAATTGGACAAGCGCACGTAGCGCACTTCGCTGTTGTTTTACGAAAAGTGAGCCAATCTGTCGTTCTGTGTCTGCTCGCTGTTGTCTCGCGTTGCCTCGCAGTTCCGCTGCTTGGACTCGAATTGGCTCGAGCTGGCCGGACACGCGCGCGTTAAGGACCAAGCGTAATTAACCAAGCGCAGCGTAAATATGACGCAGCGACATAGGAGCGAGCCGAATGACGATTAAGGGCGTCTCATGCAAAGATGCAAATGTCCAGTGAGAAAGTTTAACGACGGCCCTTCGCTCGCAGATTGAAACATGCGGGCGCTGAGGAATAGATTCATGTTGTGCAGACAACAGGAGGCGACCGTACCCGAGGTAATGAAATTTTAATCGCCATCATATCGAGAGACGGCGCAATCGCGACGTCGCCTCGCTCGTCTTCGGGTTGCCGATAATACGCCTACATTTTCTTCACAACGCCGTCGTGGACAGAATTTCTTTCTTTGTATCGCGCGCATTGGCAATGATCGCAATAACGAGATCGAATAAGGTCCACTTGCTCGTGAAATTAATGTCCCGCGCGGAGAAGATGAAAAAATTTCTCTCCAATTCCGGCTACACATGCTTCCGGCGAAATCATCATCCTTCGAGGCAAACGTTGACAATTTTACCTCAGTCACCTGGTCTTTTCAAGTCGAGTCCCGGACTCATCGTCAGTGCTCGCCCTTGTCTTATTTGTCCGCAAATCGCGCGAATCGCGAGGAAAGACTTCAATCGGGCAACGTATATTAATACACGGATAACCGCACGGATAACACGCATCGCAGCTGCTAATTCGCGTTCGGCGTCTAGCGTGGTTAATTTCAACGCTCGTTAAAATTCACGAAGGAAAGATAGCGACCCAGTAACGTGGAAAGGTCAAATGGAAGATGGAACGTGGATCGTGAAACATGTTTGAATGATGAAGTCCGTAATCCGTTGCGTCCTTAAATAGCGCCATCGCGAGACAAGAGCGGAAAACTTTTTCCTAAATTGTGCGAAATACATCGCGCGAAAGATGAAGCATCCCCCTCACCCCCCCCTTCCCCCGTCTCGATGTATTTCACGTATCGTATTTCATTATTTTTGTCTCTATCGCGAAATCCGTACGAAATTGTACGGAGTTTAAAGAGTGCTTAGCAACAATGATTGCGACACAACAAGACGCGTCTCTTACTGTTTCCCAGTAAAGGGTATAACAATTGGGAAGGACATGTAAAATACAGCGAGAGAGGTTGGAAACAGAATAATTTCACTCGAATTTCATGCCAATTTAATTATCGTAATTAACTGGTAAATTTATTCATGATATCGATCGGACGATTCTGTAGCGTCGATTTTCCGCCGCCGATAAATTATTCGTCGCGCGTTAATTCCTGGATTAACTGGTGTGTTTCGACGTTGTTTATTTGGATATTCGCTGGCTCGTTCCGCTCGTAAGAGTATCGACGAATCGCCGCCAAGGTTTTATTGTTTAATCGATCGCGTGACTCGAATGTCATAAAACGGAGATGGGCAACGTCGTTAATCCGTCGCGACGCAAAGCGAAGCGTCCGACCGAAACGAGAAATATCGCTCGATTTCAAACGACAGTAGAAAAAGAGAAAGATATTGTTCGTTCTGGGGTCTCGCTCTCTCCTGGGAGTATCGTCTGATGGACGGTCTTATTAACGCAAAGTTTAGCGACGCGCATCGTGAAACCGTTACGGAACGGTGAAATTTTCTAACTGCGCGACAATGTTCCCAACTTGCTGCGAATGTCACTGAGCGTCGCGCCCGATGAAGGACGAGAGAGAGAGAGAGAGAAAGAGAGAGAGTTTACGAGTAAACTTCAAGCCGAAACTTTGTACAATCATCCGCCCCCGCTTTTTAGGTTGACTGTCAGTCGCGTACTCGCTAGCGCTCGTGTATTATTGCTCATGATTAAAGGCTCTCTCTCTCTCTCTCTCTCTCTCTCTCTCTCTCTCTCTCTGTGAACGTTGAACAGTTGTTAACGGAACCGAGTGACCTCTCCGAATCAATCTCGAAATTGAATCTCTCGTAACGATGACAAAATTTGTTAAAACTTTCAAGTTGGGTTTAAAAAAGAGACAAAACATTACTCTGCGAGAAAAATTCCTCGTCCTTGGAGAAATATTTTTTTGCGTTTCATCATTTGCGTTATTGTTCTTTTTTATTCGGGTTTGATTCGATATTGGAGTTGGTCAGATATTTTTTACGACAGAGACTACTCCTCGATTTTGTTTGTCCTCGTCTCGGTCACGCATGCCCGACGATATAATTGTGTTTTCTTCTCGCTTGCAGGGCGCTATACTGACGACCATGTTGGCGACGCGGAACTTTTCCAGTAAGTATGATGCACAGG